CTCTGTGAATTTGGTTTTCTGGTGGTGTTCCTAACATTTTGGAGGAACCAAATGACTTATCCTTTTCTTTATTTCAGATAAGGTTTCCCCATTTTAGCAGAACTTATATTCTAGAGATAGGACTGGTTAAAAAAAGATGGTGGTGGTGGTGGTGGTGGTGGTGGGTGTCTGGGATAATGTTAGTTATGGTGAACTCAGTCTGCTGAGCTGATGGCTTTTAAGCATCTGCAAAAGGGCAGTTTTTTTTTTTCAATGTCCCCTGCTAGCAATAGACATATAACGGCTCAGAAGCTATTAGGCTTATCCTTTATTGTGTGTCAAAATTGTCATTTGGATTTTCTTTACATTTTTAAACGCTGTGTTTCTATTTGTTTGCATGATGGAAAAATTATGTATGGTAGAGAAGCCTTTGGGAGGCGTTCAAAGTTAAGTGTAGTTCCCTTTTGACAATTTATGTCTTGTAACCTGACTATTCCTAGGAAGAAACAATAAAGATATTAATGCAGTTCCATTAAAAGCTTATGTAATAATTTTAATTTCAAGTAAAAGCCACTTACTAGACTTCCTTTCTGAGCTTCTTCAAATACTCTTTAGAAGTGAGCTAGAAAAAAATATTTTTTAGTTACTCTTCAGTAGCCACAACCCTTTAAAGCTGAATGATGAAAACATTTAATTTCAACAGGAGGTGTGGACTTTCATATCTCTCTCTCTCTCTCTCTCTCTCTCTCTCTCTCTCTCTCTGTGGACTTTCATATCTGTCTCTCTCTCTCTCTCTCTCTCTCTCTCTCTCTCTCACACACACACACACACACACACACAGTTAAAATTAAAATCTATTAAAAAAAATTCCAAGGTGCATTTTATACTTCTGATATCCAACAGCAACATTATTTTGTTTCTACAAAATGTGGTCTTTGTTCTTCGAGATAGACATTTCAAGGGTGCTAAGATTTTGACCCTGACTATATTTAGATAAGTTGATGCCAGTTTAAGCTAGTCTCTCACTGAGATCCAATGATGTTTCTTTTGCATTTTTATCAGATCTTGGAACTGTTAAATCAAATATACTTGGAAAGTACCTCAGGAGCCGGTTATTAAATACAACCTCAGGTCTCTGAATTCCAACAAAAAAGGAAGATTGAATAATGCATTACTTTGTTTTGAATCCACGCTACTGAATGGCTCTAGTAGTAGATTTCACAAGTATCTTTTTCTCAAAACACCTTGAAAAAATGATGAAAGACATTTAATTCCTCAATTAGTGCTTATGTGATCTAAAATGAGTTTTCAGAAAGTTACTTTAAGGTATCTAGAGCCAAAATCTGATCAACTATTTGGAGACTAACTTCTTTAAGGAGCTAAAGGATGTGACTGGTGTGTTCAAGGAGTCTATAGATTATCTTGGCTTAGAAAGCCAACATAAGTCCTATAACAAGGACTACCTTGCATGATACTGGGTTGACAAGAATTCACAGTAAGAGTGTAGATGTCTCCTCTAGAGAGGGTTCCCTAGAGGAAGAGGGACTCAAAGCATTTTTTATTTCAAAAGAAATGTATTTAACAAAGCCTATGCACTGGGTGCCATGCACTCTGCTAGAATTACAGTGATGAGCCAGACGAAGATCCTGTATGCATGCAGCTCAGAGTCTGCTGAGACTCTGGACACGAAACCAGATCGTCACCTCAACGGTAATGTCTATGCTGGACAAATCACAGAACCTGGAAGGAACACCTGAACGTGGAGGGCGTGAAGATTTTGTTGAAGATTTCTTTGACTGAACTTGAACAGAAATAAATCCCAAGTGGGCAATACTATTTACCTACTTAAAATAGTGTTCCTTTTTTCCCCCTCTCCACCAGGGTGCACTCCACTTTTCCCAAAAGAAATCTCCAAAAATATAAACATGTAAGCTTTTCTTAGAAACTAAAGCAGATTTCAGAATTTCTTAAGAAGAGCTCTTAGAGAAAGCCAGCCTGCTTTCCCTTCCTCTTTTATAACGCTGGAAAGGGAAAGAAATAACATGATTTCCAAAGAGCGCCAGTGGGTCGGGAAATGGAGACCTCCTCTGGTTCACAATGCAACGTGCAGGGAAGATGGCAATCCTGCGTCCTCTGCCTTGTTTTTGTTTTGAGGAAAGGATTTTCTATGCTCCTAGTATGTGCATTGTATTTTAAGTCTTTGTATCTGTTTCTATATCCTTTAATAGAGACCAAATAAGGAAAGAAAAAGGGAAGTGGTTGTGGCAATCTGTTAGGAACGAGCTCTGAAATTATAGCTGCCACCTATTCCCCTTGACCTAATTAATCTGTCTACCGAAGGACCGAAAAATTACTGTTTTTAAATGGCCCACATTCATTTGGAGAGCTTAGATATGCTCCCATAGATACATTATTTCTCGGTTGGATGTTGCCCCATTAGATACTGCTGATTGCTTTAATTTCGTACCTTAGCAGAAATATTGCTTCTCATTTGTGCAGCTTTCTCTTATAAGCCACATAACATCCATTATCTCTGGAGAGCTTCTTGCATTGAAGAAGAAATTAAAAGCAAACAGGAGGTCTTCTAAACTGATACCCTTTCCCTTACCCTTGTTAAAAACGACTTTAGGACATTATTCATATTGTTGGTATTTTATTTCCCCACGTCAGATGTAGTGACATGGCCCCTAACTCAAGGTTACATTTCGGTTTTTGTTTTTTTTTAATTTTACGATAAAAGGAGCAGACAGACCACCAGAGTTAAAGAACAAGAAATACATTTTAAGATAAAATTATGTGAGTGTCCAAACATATGAAATAGTCTTAGCTATTGAATATTTTATGGGATGCTATTTTCATTGTTATTTATTCTTTGTACATCCTAATTTCATTAGTCTCCTAGTGCTACATTTTGCACTGAATTATTAATTTTCTTGTCTGTCTCCATGACTAGACTGTGTACACTTTGTCTTCTGTTTATGCCTGGCTTATAGCTGGTACTTGTTTAAAGTCAGAAGCATATACAGCAGTAAATTAATGTGGTTCCCATTGGTGGAAGAGAGTTATCTCAACTTACATTAGACCTTGGACATTTTATTAGATGTTTTCACTTTAAAAAATATCAACTGCTAGCAGTGCCCCAAATGCAGTCGATATTTTTTAAAGTGAAAACATCTAATAAAATGTACTTGTGAAATTCAACCACAGGAAATAAATAATTGCATTACTTGGTAGTGAAGATGGCAAAGTAGATGGCATCTGTGGCACCACCCACCCCAGAGAAATTATTCTGTGTCTCTGAACTCAATTCCAATAAGATAAACTCCATACCAAGCCACAGTTCCATCAACAAAAGTGTACTGAGCATTCAGCAAAGCTAGAACTCTGCTAGGGCCTAGGAAATGATGACCAGGAAGTAATGTGCTCATCTGGAGGTCATGGCACTGAAGAGTGGTCAGAAAGGCAACTCTGGCTGAGGACCAGCAGGAGGGAAGATACAGTGGCAAGAGCCAGCACTGAGGTAGATGTGATCCAAGTGTCATCCATAAACAGGACTGGATAAACACAATGCTGTATATGCATGTAACCGAGTTTTCCTTCAGCCATAGAAAGGAATGAAGTACTGATATGTGCTCCAACCTTATAAAGAAGCTATGTGAAAGATAACCGGTTGCAAAATGCCATTATGGTTTTATTCATAGGATATGTCCAAAGTTGGCAAATCCATACAGAAAGTATTTTATGGGTGCCTAGGGATGAGGAGAGGGAGACCTAGAGAGTGACTGTTAATGGACATGGGGTTGCTTTTCAGGTGACGAACATACTCTTAATAGGTTTGGTGATGGTTGCAGAACTCTGAATATACTAAAACCATCATGTTGTATGCTTTAAATGAGCTGGCTGTATAGTACGTGAGTTATGTCTCAATAAAGCTGTTTCACAAAAAAGAACCACCAGCACTGTGCAGACAGGGAATGCAAGGTGGTGTTGATGTGGCTGAGACGGAAGTATGCAGGATAAATGACAAAGACAAGAGTTGGAAGGAGGGGCCTGGCAGGTCCATCCTGGGTGCCCTAAGAAGGAACATCGTCTTGTCAATGAAGGAAGCCCCTCAGTGGTGTGTGGTCATCCTGGTACCTTTGAGAGTCAGAATGTAGCATTGCAATCTTTCTTTCCACACCTGTGAGAACAGTGGTGCCTGAAACTAGGGGATCAGTGAATACTGGGATTTAGGAACCCCATTAATGTCCTGGTATCGCAGTGCTGTGTTCAGGTCACCCTCAATTTACTTAATCATGACCCCAAGACATGAAAGTAGTGATGCTGCTAATTCAGATATGCCAAAGAGAAGGCATAGTGCTTCCTTTATGTGAAAGGGTGTATATGTATAGGATTTGGTACAACAATCCAAAGTTTCAGGCATCCACTGAGGGGTCTTGAAACGTACTCCCCTCTACTTCCTTTCCCCCCGCAGATAAAGGGGGAATCCGGTACTTTTCCAACCAGTTTTCATATATGAATCCCCCAAATACCAAAGGTTCACTGTACCAGAGGTATAGAGAGTCATGGCCAGGATGCATATTGGGAGGTGGAGCTGCTGGGAGAGTGAGGAAGGGTAGGTAGTTAGGAAACAAAGTACAGAGACCCTTATTCACCCCAGCTTTGCTGCCCATTAGTCAGAAACCTGGAAAACATCGCTCTTCCTTGTGTGTGCGTCCTTGACCTCATGGGGAAGACAGGAATGTTGGTACTAGCTTTAACCACCTCATTCTGGTGTTCTGAGGTCAGGAGACACTCCAAAAGCACTTTACGAAAAGTAAAATTCTTGGAAATGCAATATCAAACAGCTTTTCATTCCAACTCAATATTATACATGAGGTATAAAAATGTATTTAATTGGGTTGCTTTGTTCATAATACAGCATGTCCCACCTAAAAAAAAAATGTATTTAATTTTGCTGACTTTTTATTTCACTTATAATCTTTCTAATTTATTTCTTGGATGTGATTTTTTTTTTCTAGGTTACTTGCCTGCAAGACTTTTTTGGTGATGATGATGTTTTTATTGCATGTGGACCTGAAAAATTCCGTTATGCCCAAGATGACTTTGTCCTGGATCACAGCGGTAAGGCAGTTCATGGTCCACCTGTGTAACCCTGAAACAGGGGTTTGGGATGTAGTTCTGCCTTTGGGGCATGTTAAGTGGTCCTTAGCCCATCTTTGAAGAAAGATGGCATTGGCAGCATTCTATTTGAATTAATGGAAGTAGAGAATGAAATCAGAATATTTACCTACCTGTGAAAGAAAAACAAAACAAAACAACTAACCCTAAGTCAATGGTTAAGTAAATTTCATTTTTTGCAATTTTGTTCTATCTCTTTACTGCCTTTTTTTGCCTTAGAAATGAATTTCCTGCCCTCTTTCAAAATGGGGGCTGGTTATGCTAACCTTTAATTGTATGGATAGTGTTGAACTTGAAACAGTTGTACATTTTCCATGTCCATAAAGAGATAAAAAACGTAATAACTAAGTTGTTAATGATTTTTATGTTACTGCTTTGTTTATAACTTTAGAAAAGCAATAACATGTATTGTTTATATATGCAGAAAAATAATGCAATTTTCATTGATGGGGTAGGATAATTATTTTCTTTTTATTTTAGCCAATAGATGGAGTTTTCAATTAATTAGCAATAACCTTGGTAATTTCCAATGTTATAGTTCCTGGAAATATTGCTTTAAATTTAAACCTATTACAGTAATAGTGATTATTTCCACCAGTGAAATCAATTTCATCTGTCACAAGGTAAAATCATACAGGCATAGCATTTTACAGAGAAGAGGGATATTAGAAATACAAATACAATCTCACACTGTAGTTCATGAATGAGGGAAGTTTTTCAAAAATTAGACTCAGGGGGGACTCCTTCCATTTGTAATGATTCTGACAGTCCAGAATTAGAGAAACATATTACCAAATAAATATGATGATCCATTGGCTTTTCAAGATGGTCCATTCTGTGGAACCAAACTTCTTATGTAATCCCCTCTGCTTCGTCCTCCCCCTTTCACAGTTGCCTCGGGGAAATTTATCTGCCTTGTGCTTATGGTTCATTGATCTTCTTTTTTTGTTTTCCTTTTGTATCTTTCACTGCTGCCAAACCTCTTTGAGTGTTTCTGTACTGACTTACATAATCTCTGGGACTGGCTCTGCTTTAAACTGGTAATATGACTGCAAAGTCCTTAAAGAATTGCAGGTGATGGCCTTTCCTATGACCCAGGTAACGTTATCCCCGATTCTCAGGGATAATAAGGTTGCACAAAACATGCATTTACATATCATTTATATTTTATATCTTTTTTGATGTTAGCATAATTGCATTTTGCAGTTCTACTTTGATGTCCATCCTGGTCATTTTGAAAGTTGATACTATGCTTTCGGGTTGCAAAGTTAATTTGGGTAACAACAAAAACAACAATAATGAAACATGTATTGAGCACTTGCTGTGTATGCGCCAGTGTTGAACTCCATTGACATTCTATGCTGTAATCATTCCTAAGCTAGTTGGATCATGGCAGTTATAGCTATAGAGAGACTCCTTAGACAGAAGTGGAAGCTACTGATTGTTTCCCTCTCAATGGCTAATTCCTGAACCTTCTGCAAACTGGGCAGGTAATAGTGGCCTTTTCACAAGATTCTGTGAGGATTAAATGAGTTCAGATATAAAGCAATTAAAAGGGTACTTGGTTACATAGTATGTGCTATGCTGTTGTTCATATAGTTATTATACCCTCACCATCAGGTCTCAAAATTTTTCAGTGAAAGCAGGTCTCAGACCTAATTCTTCCAAGGGTACACTTATTAGGAGGCAATGTTTTTTGTTTTGTTTTGTTTTTTTCAAAGTCTGTCATTTAACTTGGTCTGTAATCTTGATAAAATCCCAACTCTGTCCTGTTAGATTCCTCACAATGTCTTGCATTAATCAATATCAGTTAACCTAGTGTTAGTCAAGTAACACAACCCTCAGAGCTGGAAGCAGGACTGGGCTGTGGTTCTGAGCTCCTAGTACTGGCTCTGTAGGTTTAGATATCCTGCCCATAGAGGGGCAGTGCCTTTAAGATGTTTCTGACTCATTCACACACCACTCCCTTCCATGGTGGAGTACTTAGTAGCATCCAAAGGCTGATGAACTGAACTGAAGTTGCTACAACCCCCTCCCTGCGAGGTTTTGATTAGAGTCTTTCAAATGCTAACCATTGTCCCCTGATGTGTATATGCCTGATTAGTGTATTTCACATGTTAATTTATGGCCCCTGAGGTATCCATTAAAACCAACCCATATTTCAAACATCTTACATAAATTGAAATATTTTAATGCAAATTACAGACAGTATGTTATCTAATTTATTCCTTAGAACTATCCTGTGATGCAGATATTATTTTTATGCCATTTTGAGGGGGGTGGGGGTAGATTGTAGAATCTAACCATAGTCCCCTAGTTCCATGGTCCACAAACATATGAGAGCTACATATGCCTCTTTGGCCTCTGTGGCTCTTACACAAACTACCATGGTCTAGGTGAGTCTATTTTGAAGAAGTAGTGTTAGAAGAAGTTTAAGTTTAAAAAATTTGGCGCTCTAAAGAAATTTCAATCGTTGTACTGTTGATATTTGGCTCTACTGACTAATGAGTTTGCCAACCACTGTCCTAGTTGACCAAGTCAAATCCATGATTTCATCCAAAATCTGCCATGAATTTAAAAGCTATGTTCTTAATTATTCCAGTTAGAACTGCTTACTTTAGCTGTAATTAGCTCTGATACCCTACATGTTATTTGGCTACTTATGGGAAGACCAAAGTTACTGTTTAAAGTTAGTTTCCTCCTGGTTCGTGCTCCACACTTTGGAAAGATGGCACAGGTAGGGGTTCATAAATTAGGGTTCTACATACCCTTTCAACCTACGTTTGCAAAGCTTCTGCCTACCCATGCTGCGGTCTAAGCACCGTTGCCCATGTTTAGGTTAGGATCTGTGTGTATCAAGTTAGGACACTGGGCTGTCTGTGTCCATCTGGAATAATGAGGTGATGTTACAGATGTGTAGTCTCAAGGTGTACTTTTCAGGTGGTAATAGGAAAATGATCAGGTAATGGTTCCAGGCAGGCAACTGTTTTCCCATGTGACCTTCCTCTGGCTAGTATTGGCACCAGATCTATTGAATGCACTTTGCTTCTTTTCTAGAATGCCGTGTCTTGAAGTCATCGTATTCTCGCTCCTCGGCCAAGTATTCTGGATCCAAGAGCCCTGGGGCCTCTCGTCGCAGCAAGTCACCAGCCTCAGGTAGAGAAGGGGAGAGGAATGAGGGCTACTGGGGCGGCGTCTCCTTTTGTTTTCTTCAATGATTATGAATCCTTGGTCTTCCCACTGCTTGTAGGCAGCCAGGTTCCAGAACAGCACGTAGATGACATGATTTTTAAAACAAAACAGTTGAAATCTGTTTCTCAAAGTTGTAGTAAGCCGCCTAAGACCCTGGCTTGTTTTGTTTGGACACATTTGTTTTAGGATAATCTTATTAGCTCAGTTCTTCTTCTGAGAAGCTTCACATTTGACCACATTTGCATTTTAAATGTTGTGCTATATGATTGTGGACATTTTCTTCTCTTATCAATTTAAACCACACACACACACACACACACACCCCTAGCATAACAATATATTCACTCAATAGGTTTCCACAGGCTTTTCCTTCATCAATCACGCAATTTAATAGTAGCAGCAACTCTTCTTGGAAAGAAGTGCTTTCCTTATGTAAGAGTCAGACTTCACTGTTCAGCTTCTCTCAGGCCCTACGCCTATAGACTTGTCATCATGTTGACCCCTTTGGCATTTAAAAAAATATAAAAACGTCTCTAAATGTCTTGATGCATTAATCCTACAAGCTTTGTTTATAGTGTAATCATGAATAACTTAGCTGATATTACCAGGGGCAGGGAATTGGTGGTTTTTTTTTTTTTTTTTTTTTTTTTGTTTTTTTTTTGTTTGTTTGTTTTCTTTTTCTGCCAAGGGCCGTCTGGATCTTCACCTTATAATGTAATTCTCAGGCCATATAAAATTCTAAACTTAAAAATCAGCCTGCTACATTTGGTCAGACATTTTAATTAACTCACTCCTAATGCCTTGGCAGGGCCAGGCCGAATGATTTCTCAGGCTTTAATATGTCCCGTGGGCCCACCCTTGGGGGAAAGGCTTGTGAAAAACCATGATTTCACATGTGGGCGATCTAGAATATGTGAAAGTAGAATCAACAACTGTCTCAAGCATCAAACTTTTTATAAAATACTGCATTTGGGGGGCCACTTTCCTTTTCTCTGCTTCCCCCTTCAGCACCCACCCCACTTTCTCTGGGCTGGGTTGGTTCACCCTTCTGTTTGTGTGCAAGTTTAAGCCTGCTGAATAACCGCTCTCCTTGCTGTCTCCTTCTCCTCCTCCTCCTCCTCCTCCTCTTCTTCCTCCTCCTCTGTGTATACTGAATGTGCACAGTAAAGAGGGGAGGCCCCTACTCCAGTGCCTACTCTACAGCCAAATCCCCAGGTGAGCCATGGTTAGTATGGCTTTGTCACTCAGCTGAGTTTCTGTTGTTGTCGTTTGCCACATTTCCTTTTCCTTTGCTCCATTTCCATGACTGTATCTGGCTGGCCCCCGTGTGCCTCTGTGCAGTATGCTGTGCTTCTCAGTATGGAGGGCGCTTCAGCCTTTCTTACCTACAGGAGGACCGGTCGTTGTCAGAAGGCTGCTAAGTGCCTGTCTGTGTGTAGCCACAGTCCTAAGTGATGGAGGACGTACAGTGCCTCATGGGGGTTAGTTTCTAGTCAAATTTGGAAAATACCCTATTGAAAAAGATTAAAGTTTGTTGGTAAAGTGAAAATGACTACAGTCACAGTTGTACTATTCTATTGTCACCTTCATCCCGACCTTGAGCTTAATAGGCTCAATACTTTCTCTTCCGAAAAGAGTAGACAAATATGAGTTGTTGTTTTTTTAACTGAAAGCATCTTTCTGCTGTTAAGCTTACTCGATGCTTTCTGTAAGTATCTCACACTGGGAAAGCTAACATAGTAGGAAATTTGCATAAATGAACAACTTACTATATGGAAGATTTTTGTCAGGTTCTTAGTTTTCGTTTAGTGATAGGTTTACAGGTGCTTATCCTAGAGTAAAACAACAAAATGAAAGTGGGGAGAGTGTTTCCAGAATCAGGTATTATGATGATTCCAATTTTGTCTCCCTGAGGTTGAAAGGGAAATTAATATACTGAACTGAAAGCATGTTTCATAGCCACATTTGTCTTTCAGACCAAATGCTTCATAAGATCTATATAAATAAATGCCTAAGCAAGCAGTCGACCATTTGACCAGTTGACAGATAGACCAGTAGCTATGACGCACACTGACCGCCAGGGGACAGACGCTCCAAATTGGTAGGTTAGCTTGCTGCTGGGGTTTGGCTGATTGGGACTGGGCGAGACAAGCTGGACACGCCCTGGAGCCCTCCCTGAATCCCTTCCTGGCCTGACAACTTTCTGTGGCCCCTCCCTGACTGTCAGGACCCATTACCCTGATCAGGACTAGGCTAGATGGGCCAGATACACCCTGGAGCCCTCCTTGGCCCTGATCTTGCACTGGTGGGGTCTCAGATTGCAAAAGGGTGCAGGCCAGGCCGAGGGACCCCACTGATGCATGAATCCATGCATTGAGCCTCTAGTAGTCTAATAAATGCATACATCTTTTTACATTGAATTTGGTATGGTTAGTAATTGATTCTAGAATCATCGCATTCCAGTACCTCAAGTTTTTAACAGTCCATGTTTGGATTTGGATTGATACAATAGATCTTTACCTAAGTAAAAGGTGTGAGATTTAAAAAAATATATATTTTTATTGACTTCAGAGAGAAAGGGAGAGGGGAGAGAAAGAGAGAAACATCAATGATGAGAGAGAATCATTGATGGGCTGCCTCCTGCACACTCCACACTTGGGATCACCTTGCAACCCAGGCATGTGCCCTGACTGTGTGATTGAATCCTGACCTTTTGGTTTATAGGTTGATGGTCAAACTGAGCTATGCTTGCAGGACAGGTGTGAGATTTTAAAGTCGCCTTTCAGAGGGCAAGTGGCTTCTTTGTAGGATATTAACAATGCATTTCTAGAAAACTGAGACTCCAGTCAGTTGCTGGGACTTCACTGTAAGCCGCCTTTAATTGATTCTGAAACAAGTTGCTAAGCAGGGATAGGCAAAAGTAAGTTTACAGTTGTTCGTATGGAGAAAGACATGCAAGTTTTGATTATTACAGTAGCTTTATTAACTCCAAATAATGCTGCACCTGGAGATTACTATGTTAGGTGAAATAAGCCAGTCAGTCAGAGAAGACAAACCATCACGTGATCTTATATGTCGCATCTCATGAGCAGAATAAACTGACCAACAAATAGGTCTGCATTTACTAATATTGTGTTCTCTTCCCCATTTCCAGCAAGGAAAGAGTTTTGTATTATTAAAAGCCACAGTACCCAGGAGTATATCTTGCTTTTATAGATTGCTTCGACTGTGGCCTACCTCTTAACCATTTAAAAAAATTTCCTGGGGACTATTTGGAATTTCCAACAGAGCTAGGGACTTTGTAAAAATAATATTGCACTTTTTCAATCTTGGGACAGAAATATTCCCATGTGTGTTGTGGTTGACTGCATTCCTCATCCAAACTCTAATTTATTGTAATAGCAAAATAGTGTGTAAGAAGCACATAGAAGTTAATCTGGAAAACATAAGCGGGTAATAGTTACCATAATGGGAGCCTTCATAATTCTCCCTTTAGGTTTCTAGCTTGTGATGCTTTCATAATTGACCAGTTATTCTTTTAAAAGTATTCAGAGAAACCCTAATTGGTTTGGCTCAGTGGACTGAAGGGTCCCAGGTTCAATTCCATTCAAGGGCATGTACCTTGGTTGCAGGTACATCCCCAGTAGGGGGTGTGCAGGAGGCAGCTGATCGATGTTTCTCTCTCATTGATGTTTCTAGCTCTCTATCCCTCTCCCTTCCTCTCTGTAAAAAATCAATAAAATACATTTAAAAGAAAATCATTCAGAGAAAACAAGCAAAGAGTAAAGTCCCCAGATTCATTTCTTACCTGAAGTTGAGGGAGGAAGATAGAAGCCTCCCTTTGGGAGAGAATCAGGGGCGTAATGAAGGTGTGGGAGCATCACAATGCCGCCGGTCCTTGCTCATCTCCCGGTGGGCAGCAGCCGTGTCAGGGAGAAGGCACCATGGAGCCCTGCCCCACGCCTCACATTACCTCCCAAAGACTGGACAAGTGTGCAAGTAAGGAATACTAAGGACTACTCCTTAGAGGACATGTTTAGAGCCTTCCAAACACTATCAGGAATTTAGAGGGCTCCATGTGACAGTGTCTTTTTAGGATGAGAGTTATTTGGGGTGGGGGGTGGGGAGGATGTGGACATGTAGGTACTGACAGCAGTTAAACCCTGGCAGTGAGTATCCTTAAGAAACCCTGTTTAGGCCGGGGGTGTACTGTTAGGGAGATTGTCTGCTACACAGATCACCATTGGCAGGAATTTGTTTTCTCTCCTTGAGTCTCTCTTCTATCTCCATTCCAAGGAAGGCTTTGGCATTAGTGTGGTGTCTGAATGTTACAGAGAGCTAACAGCACTTACTGAGTAGGAACTGGTGGCCCATACAGATTGCTGTGTGGAATGTAGGAAAAAAGATCTAGGCTCACAGCAACTCTACTAGTTCATTGTCCATAATCATCTCTATTTTATGTGAATTCCTACTACCAGTTCCCTTTAAAGAGAATTTTAAAAACCTATAACATTAACTGAAATGTAACTTAATTGACAAAAAATCAGGGCTGCTGAATACTCTTAAAAGTTTTTAATTAATTGTATAGTTACCTGTTTTGTACTTGCACTCTAAATACCCACATACATTTGTTAAGAAAATGTAGATAACTGATAGTTATTTTGAGTAGTTTTAAATTAAAAAAAATTAAAGTTTGGTAATTCAAAAGTAAATAGGACAATTTTTTGTTTTCACTGAATTTTTTGTTAATCCTCCCTGGAGGCCATGTTAATTGATTTTTAGAATGGGAGAGAGGAGAAGAGATTCAGAGAGAGAGAGAGAGAGAGAGAGAGAGAGAGAGAGAGAGAGAGAGAGAGAGAGAGTGAGTGTCAGACAGTCATCTATGTGAGAGAAATATTGATTGGTTGCCTACTAAATATGCCCCAATGGGAGATTGAACCCCACAACCTAGTTATGTGCCCTGACTGGGGATCAAACCCTCAATCCTTTGGTGTACAGTATGACACTCCAACCAGCTGAGCAACCCAGCCAGGAAGGGAGAAGGAGAGACATCAATGATGTGAGAGAATCATAGATTGGCTGCCTCCTGCACGCTCCCTACTGGGGATTGAGCCCACAGCCCAGGCATGTGCCCTTGACAGGAATCGAACCTGGGACCCTTCTGTCTTCAGGCTGACACTCTATCTACTGAGCCAAATCAGCTAGGGCTGATGTTCACCTTTTTAAATCCCCTAGTCAGGACCTTTATGGCTGCATTTTGCTTTTTATATTTATTAACATCATTTAAAATAATAGGTGTCTGCTTTCTCATATTAAAAAAAAAAAAAAGGAGATGCACTTTGCTTTGCTTTCCGTAGAGATGAATGGCAGTTTTGATCTACATTGTGCAAAAACATTAAAGATTCAATGATAAAAATGGTTATAAATACTCTTTAGAAAAGAAAAAAAAGTATACCAATATTTGATGTTAACTACCAGCTCTGTGAAATTACAGCAGACATATATCAATTAGGGGAATCAATTAGGAATAAGCATGAGTCACGTGGAACTGTGTAGCAAGCACTTTGTAGTGTCGGTTCTGTGACCTGCCATCCTCTGGAGCAGCAGGGACCGCACTCTTCCAAGCATAGGCTCTGAATTGAACTTGCAGCCTGAGAATATGTGGAAGTTTGGAAGAAGGTTGTATAAAAAACAAACAAACAACAAAACAAAACTAACAAAAAACAACATAAAATTTGCTAAATGATGGGGAAGTTAATCTACAAAGAAAATGAATTAGAAATAAGTAGTCTAGATTTAAAAAAAAAAAAAGTTGAATGTTTTTGTATGGCCTTCAAACAAATAAGTACCATATTTTCCGGCGTCTAAGACGACTTTGAAACGAAAAAAAGCCTGCTCAGATTGGCCAGTGTCAGAGAGGTGGTCTATGAAAAAAAGAACTGGTGTTGCCTCAGAAGTGGGGGGTCGTCTTATACAGCGAATATAGGCCTAAATCTATGTTTTAACTGTAAAATTAGGGGGTCGTCTTATACGCTGGAAAAATACGGTAGATATTACAAGGAAAATGACCATTAATTTTCTTTTTCCATTAATAATGCACTTAGAAAATATGTTTGGATTATGGTGGAACTGATTTGGGAGAGCCATAGAAAGTCTTGGTTATTCAGATAGAGAATATTGGAGGTTATGAGACTATCTGCATAAGAAACCATTACAAAGATAACACTCATTCATCCCTACCCTTGCTGGTAGGCAGGATATATGAACAAGTTCTCAGACTCATCTCTAGTTCTATAATGTTCTTTATCTATGTCTGTGTCACCGTTGGAAAGCTATTACTGAAAATAATCCTAGCTCCACTCCTTATTTGTCTAATACTTTGTCTGTAATACAGTATGATGCGTTGCTCTTGCTTTTTGCTGGTTTGTCATCTGCTTTGAGCGTTAAATGAATGAAAGCTTCATGCATGTGCTTAGTGTTTGGACACTGTCTGGTTGTCTTGAGTTTTCAGTGATCTTTGTCTCCTTTGTGTCTCCTGGTCAGTTAATGGAACTCCCAGCAGCCAGCTCTCCACCCCTAAATCTACGAAATCCTCCAGTTCCTCTCCAACCAGCCCAGGAAGTTTCAGAGGAGTAAAGGTATGAAATAGTCTATGTGGCATGTTTGCATGACTTTGGTATTTTGAGTTGCATAGCTGAGCAATTTAATTTGTTCAGGGCTTGGGTGCAGTCACAGCTAGAGAAGGAAAGAGGACTGGATTTGGAGACAAAGAGATATGGCTTTGGACCCTGTATCTGCTTTCATTTTGTAATGTTGGCCAACTTGATTAACTCTTCTGAGCTGAACTGTTCACTTACCTAAAATGGGAAGAGAAGGTTGTGGTTAAAATTGAGTAACATGGCAAAATATTATCAGTAGTATTTTTCCTATTAGCAAAATGCCTGATAATGATGAAGCCTGGAGAACTCAAAGATTCTTCTTAAAATCTCATTTTGAATCACAAATTTAATATTGCTAACATAGTTTGGCCTTGCATTTACAACTACCTATATACACAAGTAGTAACCCAAAAACAATATATTCATTTTGATGAAGACCTCAGAATTAATCTTAAGTTTTGAATGTGACGTCCTTATATAAACAGTAAGTTCACATGATTACCAGTTGGTTTCATAGGCATTTTATCTAATAAGGAGAAAAATTATTAGTGAAAGCAAATTTGAAAAATTTCAATGAGCTTAATTTGACTTAGTAACTCTCAATAATTTAAATTTACAAGAGAAAATGTTACTGGTAAAGTAGCAATAAATTGTTGAAGTTAAAGATGGACAATTTCCTTCCATCTAGAAACAGCCAGATTGTCTTTGTGAGAACTTCATGGGAATGTACTCTGAGAATACCTAAATACATAGAGTGCCATCCGTGTATATGTGAATGTGTACATAACTTTCATGCTCCTGGTGTGTTGGATTTGACAGTGGAAATATTCCCATGAGGAATACATTCTCCACAATCAGTATCATCTGGGTGTTTGTGTGTGTTTTTAAGGATGTTGAAAAATGTTTTTCATTAGTAAATTATCTGGTGGAACACTCTCCTCCCCCCACCTCCACTTTGAGTGAATGAGGAATGAGAACTCGCCAAGTAGGGCATCCAGACCCCTTCAGAGCCATGAGTTCTGTGGTTCCCCCACTTCTCAAAGGGTTTCATTCTCCCTCTGACTCTGAAGTTTGTTCATCCTGCCCTATGTTGTGTCTACCCCAGAGTGAACTTGCATGGTTCTCATTTAAGTGTCTGAACTTAAAAAAAAGAAAGAAAGAAAGAAAGGAAGAAAGGAAGGAAGAAAGGAAGGAAGAAAGGAAGGAAGAAAGGAAGGAAGAAAGGAAGGAAGAAAGGAAGGAAGAAGGGAAGGAAGAAGGGAAGGAAGAAGGGAAGGAAGAAGGGAAGGAAGAAGGGAAGGAAGAAGGGAAGGAAGAAGGGAAGAAGGGAAGAAGGGAAGAAGGGAAGAAGGGAAGAAGGGAAGAAGGGAAGAAGGGAAGAAGGGAAGAAGGGAAGAAGGGAAGAAGGGAAGAAGGGAAGAAGGGAAGAAAGGAAGGAAGGAAGGAAGAAAGAAAAATTTTGTCCTGAAAAAGACAGACTGTTTTTTGTATCTCCTTGCTTCTGTTGATTAGCAGGATTTGGACTGAGGCCAGTTGTAAGTTTGGGATTGGAAGTCCCGAGCACTCACCTACCTCTGTGTGCTGGGCGCTCCTTGTTTTTATAACAACCAGGCATTTTCTGAAGCGCTGAATTGGCATAGGTCAGTTCACAGTTGGATGCCGATGGAATTCGGAACCATCAATGCCAAAAGACATCATGTAAATTAAAGTTCTCTATAATTTAAGTATTTTTAGCTTTTCTTTCCCAACTTATTTTCCCCCAGAATAGATCAAAGGTGCACTGTTTTTAATTTGAGTAAATTTCAAGAGAACTAAAATAAAAATAAATACGCGTTGATTCACCTTTGTTCTAGTTGCAGTTGTTTTATCATTTGTTGAAGCCAAAGCAAGTGGCTCCTAGTGCTGGTAATTGTTACCCCAACATGAGCTGTCTGGTGAGCCTGTGCAGTCATTGGGATTTTCCTGTAGGTCATTGATCGAGGCAGGGCTGGGATCCTTGACCTAAGGCTGGTACTTCACTCCCCGCTTACCAAGGGTTGTGGTCATTTTCTCCTTTTATGTTATCCACTAGGGACAGGGATGGGAGGTTGGGGGTGGAAGTGGGTCCCTCAGCCCAACCTGCACCCTCTCCAATCTGGGAGCCCTCAAAGGAGCCCTCTCTAATCCGGGAGTTTCTGTCTGTCTTTGCAATCAAATGAGTGAATTATCTGAGACCCTAACCCATTTGGTTTGGTGCTCACAGAATAATAGAGGTCTTTTTTTTTTCCTCTTTGCTCCATTGGTGGAGATTTCCTAGAAGTTGCAGGATATCTTCCTTTAATTTTTCCTCGACACTCTGGCTTTACTTATGTTACCCACCTTTGCTTTCCCTCCATCCCCCACCCACAACAGTAAGTTGTTCCTGGCTCAGTTGCTCTGGTGTCTAGGAGATCCCACAACGCATTTGCCACCAGAACTACAATTCCCAGAATTCCTGGTGTTCCCCAAACTCTTGGTTCTGGCTTCCAGTCCAGGGGCTGCACAAGGAAAAGGACTGTGAACTCCAGCTGCCCCTAGGCTGGGCTAATAGGACAGGACACCCAACCTGCTCCAGGCTGCTCTGTGCCTGCATATCTCCGAGACCCCCACAGGCCTGCCATCTTTGTCAGGTTGATTTGCATACTCGCTCCTGATTGGCTGTGGGGCATCTCAGAGGTATGGTCAATTTACATATTTGTCTATTATTGGTGTAGATTGGTAACCTGGGCTCCCATCTTTCTTCCTGCTCCATCTTCAACTCTGAACCCAACACAGCCCTTTTTGGTTGATGCCCCTGGGTCACTAGGTGCTGCTTGGTGCTCAGAGTGCACATCACTCCTTCACACATGCATACAAATCCCACAGATCATTCACATTTCTAGATTGAAGATTCATGAAATTTTAAAATTGTAATGATTTGTATCATTGCTGAGACATTAGAAGGTTGATTTCAGTATGCTAAGTTTGTCTTAATAATTATAGTAACCTTAGCATTTAGCACACAGGTCCCTTTGGGGCACACATTAAATTCTGAAGGGTAACTTATTGATGTCAAGAAGAATAGAGGGAAATGTTGATTTCTGGAGGTAAAAAAAAAAATTATCAGTAAAGCAGAGAGCAGAGATCTTTCCAGGCCCCTTCACCCAACCCCTCCTCCACCACACCTGAACCCTGTGGACTTTGCTAACAGCTGTGAAACCTCTTGGTTTTCTTTCTCTCTTCTTTAAAATAAGGACGTTTGATTTTAAAGTACCTCTAAAAGTGCTAGGATTATAGTCTTTTTTTTTTTAGTTGCCAGAAAACTTATCTAGGATGCTGAGGATTCTATTTCTAATCTCACTTTAAAGCTGATGTAGACTCGCCAAATTTTACATCAGATATTAGCAGCTAAATGAGTCCCTGCCACACTGACCAGTTTTTAGGACACAATGCTAAACATCTCCACCCTTGCCTATCTCCACGGGCCATGCCTCATGGAAAATTCATCTCATTACCCTTCTCAGCAATCTGTGCTGCATATTGTCATCGGGATGAAAATCTGCCCTGGAAGAACTACAACTTAGTCATATGTTATCTACTGTATAAAATAACCCTAATTTCAATGTCAATGTAAAGCTCTAGTCAGCATCTGTCCACATTTGCATTATTCTCCCCATTCAGCAACATTACCAATGGAGAATTACAGATAATTATTATGTGTTAGTGCTATGCTTTTTCTCTCCCCTTCATTTACAATCACCCATTAAGATCAATTAAGAGGGGATGTGAGACAATGGAGGACTGTTTTTCATGGGTTGAAACTTTTTACCACTATTTATCCTCATTAGAAGCTTTATGGCTTTGGGGATAGATAATCTTTTCCAAAGAATCAGAGCATTGACAAAGCATGCTAAGATGGGATAGCATGTGCAGGCGTCGATGCTCATGTCTCTCTGTTAGGACACAGCTTTGGGCAGATTTTATTTATTTATGTTTTACTGTCTGGGTTTTACTTCATAGGGAATTTAAGCAAACAAGTCACAAGCAAGCAGAATTTGGTGTTCTACCACAATTTATCCCCCCTTTGTGCCAATTTCTGGGAGTTGATTTGGTGCTTTGGTGGGAACACTGGAAGAACTGAAAGTGAAAATAGAGTGACTTATAATGTTTAATCTCTGACCACAGTGTCAATGGCATTTCTGTTTGCCCATATACAAGGATGAGATAGCAAAAGCAGCCCTTTCTCCACAAAAACACTCAGCGTGTTCTCCACACTTTCCTTGAGGGGACAACGTCTGCACCCATAAAATGTCCTGGTTCTCTGCGGGCATGACACAGTCTGCAGAGGAAGCAAAGCTTTCTTCAAATTGTAAGAAGTTTTTGCAGGATGGGAGCTTAAAATTTAACGTGGTGACTGAGTAATCAAGGTTCTGAGAGCCTTTAAGACGACTGAGAGTGAGTTGTACGTTGGTTATAATTTTTCACTTTTGCTAGGTACTTCAAACCATTGCATGTGAAACAGGAAGTGGTCTCGGATCTTTTAAAGTAGTGTTCATTTTATAGTTGGAGAAACAGGTTCAGAGATGTGATTTGCTCAAGATCCCAGTGGCCAGTGGGATCGCTGACCCTGTCAGGGTCTGTGTCCCTAACCTCTGGTTTCCCCCATCACTAGTGGGTCTGCATCAAGGACTCCAACACAGGCACCTCAGGAGGAGCCCATGTGATTATTACAGAGGAGGTATGCTGTGCCAGTCTTTTAAAAGGAAGGGAGCTGGCCTGGGTTGCTTGCTGAGTTCCTGGGTTTAGTTCTGCACAAATGCTCTGAATGAAAAAGGGTTGAGAGATTAGGAAAGGAACAGGAGGGAAGGGTTGGGAAAGGGAGGGACAATCCGGGGTGGTGGAGGAGAGGCTAGATAAAGGAGGGATGGAAAGATCAAGAACTCCTTTTGATACCTTTTCCCGGGAGACTTTGGGGGCAGGTG